TCACGTAAAACAAATACATGCATTATAAGAAAATATTATTTTCCTGACAGAATTTTGTCGGTGAAAAAAAAAAGATCATTGAAAATTTTGTCTTTAAGATTTACAAGCGAATTTTAACGAAGAATTGTAGAATTTTAATTACAGTAATGAATTCGTTGGTAATTTACAATTTTTGTTATCAATTAATATTTCTTTCGGTAAATTCTATTATATGAGAGTTAAATTTTTTGTTTTAGCTTAATAAAATTGATCGATAATACTTTTTAAAATTCCTTGTTGATAAATTAAATTTTGAAAATGGGCGTTGATTTTTTTGTTATATATGATTAAATATGTGTTATAAATTAATTAGGAATTAGTAAAACAAAAAAAATGAAAAAAAAGAAGGAAGAGAAAAAGGAAAAGAATCAAAACGAGTTCACAACAATAAAAAGAATAAGAAAAGGAGAAATGAAAAAAAAAATTTAACTTAACTCAACTTTACGAAATTAATTTATAAAATGAAATCTATATCCATTTATATTTTAAATTCACTTTATCATATGATTGGTCATTAAACTTTTATGGAAATTTCTTAGACATATTGTTTTCTGGAACAGTTATCTTCAGACAAAAAACCATTTCCATGCAACCACCACCCCTGATTTGAAGATCATGATAATTTTCTGATTTGTAAACTTAACAAAGCCATAACCTTAAGCAAACCCCAAGACAATGGGTTCAGAGACTTCCAAGACAAGTACACTTTAATAATTTCTTTATAAAACTTCCTTCTTAAATTTAAGATCTCCATAAAAGTTTTGCTTTATATACTACTTAATTATAACTAACAGCAAAAATAATCATGAAGGAGTAATATTTTTAGACGGAAAATGACACTTGAACAACCATTTTTGACAACATTTAGACACGCGCACACGTGTCAAAATCTGAGTGATCCAGTTGGAAAAATTAAATGAAAATGGACCACTCAGATTTTGACACGTGTGCGCGTGTCTAAATATTGTCAAAAATGGTTGTTCAAGTATCATTTTCCATTTTTAGACCATAAAATGGCAAGCATCACCATTTTAAGACAAACAAACCAAAATCATAAATTATTTGTCCATGATGAAACCAATTGATATTTGTGTTATTATTAATTTTAAATTTCATTATACTAACCAACCTTCCTTCGAATTAAAGACTTCAACACAACCCTCGAGTGAGAGTATCTTCAAATAAAATTTATTACAAAATTTTGTTATCAAGAAAAAACACTACTTTTGAATAAAAATAAACCACTTAAAAATAGGCTTACTATATAAATAAAAACAACTCTATTCCATTTTAAGAAACATATGTTTATAAAAACCACATTAAACTTGATTTGAAATAAGAGAAATTGAATAGAGATAAGATTGTTTGATTTTAATGGAAACATAAGAGAGGACATATATTTTGAATAAAAACAGCGATTTAACCATACAACAATGATTAGAATAAAAACGATAGAACAACATAGAGGAAACGTAATGATCATCACAGACACCATGCTACGGTGCTACCTCCTCCTCATGGAATTCCCTTCTCCATATCTTGGAGCTGCTCCACCTCCCTTCACATCATCAAGAACAAAACCACCAATCAATACCATGCCCTGCTATCTATCAGTAGTACATATCACTCCATGTAATATCTAATGCAGATACATTTTACAAACTCCTAACATTTCATTACCAACCCAAGAACTTTTGTATCTCATTTTTAATAGAAAATGACATGACAACCATGACATGGACAACAATTGAGATGCAAATGGACAGCTAGGAAGTTCAGAATCTTTACAAGCAAATTTCAATGTTCAAGTAGAGCCTATGGCATCAAAACTCACTTCTGCTTTAAAATACACAACACACTGACAAGGCTAATCTAACTTGAGGTTTCATCATTTATTCACTATAGGCCCCGAAGGCTAACATGAAATTTGCATGCAATTCTTGGCCCAGGTAGCATTGAATGCCATATTTGCATGCCTTTTCCAGTTTTATTCACATGTATGCCATGAATTTTGTATTATAAAACGAAAAATGTTGTATAAATATACTAACCCCTAAACAGAAGTTCTGGTCACTCGAATTGAGTTCAGATGTATTGTCTGTCTTTCCAAAATTAATTTCAGTGGAATTACGTTTATTTGATCTAGAACCTTCAGCATTAGTCATGATGTACGTAGGTGAAACAGGTGCAGTGGCTTGAAACATTTCTTCGAAGAGCTGTTGGAACTCCTCAAAACTCTCCTCCCCATTCTCCTGTTATGTCACATCACAAGCCACCCAGTGTCATCAAATGTGAATTGACCAATAGGCTAGTCACATAGTATAGATGCATGCAAGCTGCTGCTGTGGCCGTTCAAGACCAGACAACATAACTAACATGCCCTTGTACTGTAAGTTGTATGCATTACCGCACGAACTTCCCACATAATTAGTCACTATGAACTTCCCACATAATTAGTCACTATGCAATGTAATCAGCAACAATAACAATACTAACACATACCATAGATATGAGACTAACTTCTTTCATAATCACATATGGTGGGCCCACGGTTCGATGATAAAATCAATACCATATCATATCTATCACATGACTCATCTTAGCCATTGAGGCCCACCACTTAGACGACCAGGCCAACAAATATCATGAATTAATTTATTAATTCATGGTTTGAAACTACTTAGTGCACGTGTTTGTTTATCACATTGTATCCCTGCAATGCAATATCTGCCTTTAACTCCTTTTGCTTAATTTCTGTTTTAGAATAATTGGGCATGAAACTTCATCCATAGCCTTCTCAAAATTCTGACAGCCATTGTGCATCTTAGTGAACTCAACAAGAATCATTCCCCGCAACAAGTATAAAAAGCCCAAGAGAATATCATTAGTCAAATAACAGAAAAAGCCATGGCAACAACATACTATTTGACAAAGGCCAACACTCTAACTTCATCCATATAACACAAAAAAAAGGCGTGAAAAACGTGAAACTTTCGGCCCAGTGGACAACGATTGGAACAAAGAGGAGATAACTTACACTGGGTTTTGATTGAGTCATCATTGTGGCCATTTCATTCAAGAAATCACCCATGCCCTGCTCAAACAAACATACCAAATGGCTCATTACAAAAAGAACAGTCCTAAGAATGAAACCACCACCAAATTTTGATTCTCTTTGGTCCATATCCCATGTAGGAAATTCTGGTATGGACTTGATCCACCGGTTGGTTGTGTTGCGTGTAGATCACAACACAAGACAAGCAATGGTATGCAAATTGAACTTAGAACAGTTTGTGCCTGGCTAGCTTTCCTAAATAAAGATGAAAACAAAGGATTTTAACTGGTCTCACATGGTACCTTTTCTCCAGGAAGAAGAGAAATGGACGATGCAAAGCCCAGAAACAGGACAAGACTGCTACAGACGAAAGGACACCACACCAACAAAAAAAATCATTTTTTTAAATAAAGAAAGAAAGAAAGAGAGAGGGAGGGAGAGAGGAAACTGAGAATGTTTACATTAGACAGGAACAAGGTCAAAGAATAAGGAGCAGTGATATTAAAGCAAAATTATTTATTTAGTTTGTAGAAGATAAGGAGAGGGAGAATAAGAGAGTAGATACGGTTTGGTCGTCATCGCTGTCATAGACACCTACTTCGTACAGTAACCTTGTGTTGGCATCAGATAAGACTGGGCAAAAACAGAGTGAAACTAATTAACAATGGAATGGAAGAAAAGAAGGTAACATGAATTGAATTGAAACAGATTTGACCAACCAGAATAGGCGTGCTGGATTGCCTGGAACTTCTCCTTCCCTTTTTCCTCGCGGCTCCCTGAACAACGATCTGGGTGCCATCTCTATCCCATCAAACAAAACAAATTCTTTGTTTTTAATACCAACTCATTCTAATGAGCCACAAAAACAAAACTCTTAAAATGAAATGTGACAATTCATTCTAACCAGTGCAAGTTTCTTATAGGCTTTCTTGAGTTCAGATGGGCTACACTCCTTTTCTATGCCCAGAACCTCATACAACTCTTCACTACATTTCTCTCCTTCCTTCGCCATTTCTTCAATCAAATCAAACTCGGTTTCCTTCTACCCAACTTATCAAATCAAACCAGAACCCAATATTTTTTATTTATTTATTTATTTATGCACTCCTTACTTTTAATATTGTAAGACATGGATGGATCAAGGAACCTCTTAACATTTTTATTCGGAGGGAAGAGGAAAGCATAAATAAAAACAGTTCACCCACCTTAAGAACTCTCCAGAAGCACCCTCTTTACACAGTTTCCTTTTTTTACTAAGGTTGCAAAATATACTATGTTTAGATCTTTTTAATATTTGAGTATTGATTAGAGTATACTGTAGAAGAAAATGATGTACGGACGAGATTGGAGGGTAATACTTAATACTTCTTTGTAATATATATATATATATATGGTTCGAGTGTGTTTCCAGAAGTTTCGGTTCTGTGTAGCCACACAGACAATAAATTGTTCGAGTAAATAGCACATGTCGTTAATATTTGTGTGCTCGTGAAAGATTATCTAGATTTTGGTTGAGATTTTCGATTCATCTTATATGTTTTTTTTTGTTAAACTAAGGATATCAATTGACCAATCCATTGCAACTCACTCCAAGTACGATTATATTCTAATTATATTCTGGAAAATATTTTCAGAATTAGAACAAATACGCTAAATAAATAAGAAAGTATTAAGAAATACGTTTTATCTCTTCTAACTTGAAATGCAAATATGTATTAATTAAGAAATGCGTTGGAACGAATCAAATCAGGTCAATCTGCAAATAAATTATTCTGTGGTTATTAAAAAATTAAAATTAAGAGCATGAAACAATGTTTATAATCTATTTAATTAAGATAAATGAGGAAGTTTATTTTAAAGTTTGTGGGAATAGATATATAAAGAGGTTGTTTATGTAACTGAGACATGAAATAATTTATTTAATTAAATTAAAATTATTTTTCATATGTTGGATAGACAGAGTAGAAGATTGGATGGTTATTATGGTTGAAAGAGTGATCTGAGATTGTAGGGGCTTGCAATACTCTGATTTCCGCTCCAGACAAGCTGGGAAACAATCTGTTGAGCACTTTGGGTGGGATGAAGAGAGTCAAAGAACACGTATTCTTCTGGATTCTCACATAACTCGTAATCTTTCACTTCTCTTCTACCTCCGCAGCTGTAATATCCTCTGTGGGGTCCACTGCCACAGCATGCCACGTCGCCTTCTTTCAACCCTTTACTTCAAAAAACTAAATCAGATAACCTTTTACACCAAAATCATATCTACTAAATATATGCATTACTTACCATATTTGGAAGGATTGTTTATAACATCAAAAGTTATGGTAAAATAATCCACGTATGAATATTTAAATCCTTCTAGTTCTTTCTTTAACTTGCCAAGTTCAAGGTAAAGCACACTGTTGTGTAGTTTAGGCAGTGCTGAGGCTTCTTCCACGCAGGAACCTTTTGATCCATTCACCAGACCTTTCACGTATGGAACACAACCCGCAGCTGGCAGGCTAAAAACACCAAATTTCCTTCCTCCTGCCTCGTGTATCCCCTAATTCATGCAATGCGTCATATTAGAATGGTGCACTTGTTTTATTTAAGTTGAACTTTGACGCTTCGATGCAGAGCCAAGTAAGAAGAATCTGCTACATACCTTGATCACTGATGTAAGATTACCAACTACCATCTCTACTTGTTTCTCATTCGTGCGTGAATTACTTGAATTTTTTGACAAGGAAATTTCATAATCATTGATTCCAATGTTGATCAAGTAAACAGCTTTCGCAAGCAGAGCTGTGGTTTCTGCATTTCCAAGTTGCTGCCTCAATTCCTTGCTGACTTTCCTGAAATAACTGAGCTGAGTTTTTAGATCTATCACCTGCAAATTGAACAGTCAGATAAAAATAGATGGCATGGATCAAAGTTAATTAAAGACCTATTCAAAAGAATAAAAGATATCATTCAATCTCATCCACAAGTAATAAATAGTTAACAATAAAACATAACAGACCAGTCCTTGATGGGTTTGAACCAAAGCCCTAGCTCCAGCTGAGGCAAAATTGACTCCATCAACGTATCGATGATTACCAGGGAATAGATAGGGTGGGATTAGAGGCAAGTTAGCATACTCAGCTGCAATAATATTGTATATATAGGCTGTAAGAAGTGAGTTATTGGTTGGTCTTAATTAAACACATAAAAGCAAAGTTGTTGTATACCTATGAAATCTGGAAGAACTCGACCATCAGAAAATCTGCCTGTTGGATACTTGAAGAAGGTTTCCCCATATGGAGAGTAATTAGCCTGATAATTAGAAGTAGTATTTATGTAATTGTTGTTTCCAACGTCAAATAATGAATCTCCAAATACAAATAATGCTGCGTGTTCTTTTGGCTCGCAAACATCACCCAGGCTTAGGCAGCAACTTATGCCATAGGTTGCTAAAGAAACTAGAAAACAGAAACTGAAGTTTGAACTTGCCATGAGTTTCACTTCAATTTTCTAACGTCTAATGTCACAGTTTGCAACTTGTGTTTATATAGGCTACTTTGACTTCATGCACAAGGAAAACTAAATTTCTAGCATTGTATCAGTAAATAATTTAAATATTGAAAATGTATCGTGGAAACATGTACAAAGATTTAAATCAACGGAGAATTGGTCTGTATTGATTTTTTATTCCTCATTTAATTATTAATAATAAGCTCTTCTAGTCAAAAATGTTACTTCTATGTTAAGTTATAAAGCATGATTTTTGACTTCGTTTTTCTTTATCTTAATACATAGATAATAGAATTTTCTATATTAATTAATTTAAGATTTAATATTCCGAGGTTCTTATTTCGAATCGAAATCTCAAATAGATTTTTTAATTTTTTTTATTTTAATTGGATTTTTAATTTTACGAAATTGATTCAATTGGATTTCTGCGTTAAATGAGGTCAATACCAACATTTAGACTACCGTTGCGACAACCATCTTCGCACTGAAGGCCATAAATCGCGAAAAAACCCTTAATCACAAGTTCAAAATCACAAATCCACTATCAACCTCGAGTGACCATTGCGAGTCCAAATCTTTGATCACCAACATTCCTTCCATCATTGTAAATCACACAACCTACAAGTGAACCAAAACAACGCAAATCCACCAGTAACGACAACAGAACACAAATCGCAGAAACCATCACGCCACCGTGAGCAATCCTTGCGCCTCCTCACGCCAGTTCATTTAAGTTTGATTCGACTTTGGTCTACTAAATACATGTTGGGTCAGGTTGGTCCGCCACTCAATAACAGGTTGACTTTTCCAACGATATCAAACATTCAGGATGAAATGGATTCACACCACACTCTCAGGCGGACTATTAGGCAAAAGGTGAAATTAATGTGGGTTTGCAAGGCGGACGTATGTCAGAATCTCATGTTGCGTTTGAATAATTTATCACTTATTTAAATATAACATCACTGCATTTAAATTTTCCATAATATATCAAAACATGTTCATACTTAAATAATTTTTGTTTACACAATCATTCAATCATAATAATATTAAAAAATTTTAAAATTAATAATCAGTTCCATCATATTTTTTTTCATCAACATTATCATCTAAATCACAAAACTGAAGTAAAACTTATTGCTACTTATAAATACTCTCACATTTATGTTTACCCATATTACTACCAATAAACCATATTACTACTAATAAAATATCTGCTAAATATTTTATCATTTAAGTTTTCCTTAGAGATGAGCATAGAATTAAGGTTCCAAATAATGGAGGAAGTCGCAGTGTTCTAATTTTTTAAAAGAAGTGAATAAAGTGTTGTCATAACCGAAGGCAAGTTCCATCATCGAGGTACATTAATTATCATGATATGATTTTCGACCCAAGAAAATGCTCTTTAAGTGGTGACGAATTTCTGGGTTTTCATGATAACCCAGAAAGACATAATTAAAGAACACAACATTTATATGAAGAAAAAAATTGATCTGATCTGAAAAGAAGCCAATACAAGGAAAAAATAAACAACGAAATAGAAGTGACACAACCGGACAAAGAGTCACAAACTTGACAAAATCAAAAAATAACAACTCTCTATCAATAACTCTTATAAACACATGACTTTGCTGACCGACATGTTGACAAAAGAAACTCAGTGCTTCAAATAAAGACTTTTGCAAGCATGGACAAAGACTTGCAAGAGAATGAATGAACATTATTAATGTGTGAGAATGATCTGAAAGAAGAATGGAGAATGTATACATAACAAAAAGAGCGCATAAACTCCGTAAATAAGCTCGACAGCAAAACTCACTCACATGAGCCCAAAAGTAAAAACTTGGCTCAATTCATTTATGTTATTTTGAGAGTTTATACTGTAATTAGATTTTTTCAGCTACTTGAAACTGGGATTGCAAAATTTATTCTCCAATTATTATTATATTTGGGCTGGCACAAAGTTTTCCAATATCTATGATGCATGTTTGCTAGCTAGCTGATAAGTTCAATGTTGCCTTTGACAGTGGTCTTTTTTAATACACCAACTACAACATATCTACCCCAAATGGATCAAATGAAACAACTGCTACCATCAAGATGTCACAATCATGAACAAGGTAATTTATCTGAACATGGTTGGATTATAGTTGAAATAGAATTTTAAGATTGTAAGGGCCTGCAATGCTTGAGTTGCCGCTCCACATGAACTGGGAAATAAATTGATGAGCCCTTTCAGAGGGATGAACTGAGTCAAAGAACACATACTCGCTAGGATTCACACACAAGTTGTAATCTTTCAATGTTCCTTTCCCTCCACAGCTGAAATATCCATTGTAAGGCCCGCTGCCACAGCATGCCACATCGCCTTCTTTAAAACCTTTACAACAACCACAATCACAATCAAATCAGATTAACTTTTCTCTTTATCACTATAAATTTGTTCAAACCATACCTACCATATTTTGAAGGGTTGCTTATAAGGTCTAATGATAAATCAAAGAAATCCACGTATGAATATTTAAATTCTGTAAGTTGTTTTTTTAACTTGTCAAGCTCCACTGAAAGAACCTTATTATGCAGTTGGGCTAGTGCTGAAGCTTCTTCCACGCAGCCTTTAGATTCATTCATAAGAGCCTTAACGAATGGAACACAACCCATAGCTGGCTGATTGAGAACCCCAAATTTCCTCCCTCCTGCCTTGTGTATCCCCTGATCATGTTCTTCATGTTAGATATATATTCATTACAGCTAGTTCTACTCTTATGGTTCATCAACGCACCTTTATCACTGTTGAAAGATTACCGACTACCATATTTACATATTTCTCTGGAGTAATGACACTATATTTTTGTGTGAGGTAGATTTCATAATCATTGCTTCCGATGTTAATCAAGAAGACAGCTTTGGCCAGCAGGGTTGTGGTTTCTGCATCTCCCACTTCCTGCCTCAACACCTTGCTGACTCTATTGAAGTAACTTAGTTGAGTTTTAAGATCTATCACCTGCAAATTAAACATCAAAATGCTTGCAGTTGGATACAAAATGAGCAAGTCAAAAGAGCTAACAATAACATGCCATGCAATGCAACAGACCAGTCCTTGATGGGTTTCAACCAAAGCCCCTGCTCCTGCAGATGCAAAATTGACTCCATCAACGTATCGTTGATTACCAGGGAACAGATAGGGTTGGATTAGAGGCAACTTAGCATACTCAGCTGCAACAATATAGTTCTGACGTTATAAGCATGAATGTGTAGAAACATTAAGGAAGCTGGTAAAAGAAAAACAGAACAATTTTATGTACCTACGAAATCTGGAATGATGCGACCATCAGAAAATCTGCCTGTTGAATAGTTGAAGAAGGTTTCCCCGTATGGAAAGAAATTTGCGTAGTTATCAGCAGTGGTATTGATGTAATTATTGTTTCCAGCATCAAATATTGAATCTCCAAATACAAATAACGCAGCTTCTTTTGGCTGGCATGTGACACTTAAGCTGAGTGTTATTCCATTGCTAACCAAGAAAACTAGGAAGAGGAAACTGGATTTTGAAGTTGCCATCAGAGTTTAACTTCAATTTTCTCATCTTCTCAATAGAACGAAACTCGTGTTTATAAAGGCCATCATCCAGAATAAAAATAATAAAAAATTAGTTCCTAGGAGAAATGATATTAATAAATAAAAATACATGATAAAAAATACAATCTAAATAGAAATATAAAATTTCAAAGCAATTGAAAGCTTAATTAACCCATCTCATGAACATATTGTAGTTTATAGATCTTAAATTAACAATTATCTAATGAATGAGAAACCAATGAATTTTTTATCAATAAAAACAAATAAAATTAATAAAGGCGAAAAGGAATTTTTTAAATCATGTATTTTAGTATGACTAAATTATTTATTTTACAAAGTAAAATATTTTTTAAATTTTCATTACGTCAAATAAAATAATATTTCAAGAATGAATGAATAAATTAATTAAATAAAATTTGGTACTTTCAAATTATTTATGACTTATTATTTAAATTCAATTTATATTTTATTTTTTTGAATTTCTGGTCAAGTTTCTGAATTCTCAATTAAAATTATGATATATTTACGAAATACTTTTTTTTTTCTTAAGTAGGTTTTAGAATAACTTGGTATTGTTAATTTTTAATTAATAATATGAAAATTTGAAATTATATATTTTTCATTTAATGCTTAAATTTCTCAATTAATCTTATAGGTAATACATCATTTCTAAACCATCTTCTAAATAATTTTGACGTATTACAATTACTTTTTTAAGATGTACAATTTTAATGATTTTATTGTCATTAAACTAAATTAAGGTCGATTAAATTATTTCTCCATATTACTTTTATTTTAGGTTTAAACTCTCAGTTGGTCCTCGTATTTGTGTGTCAATCTCAAGTGGGTCATCGTGTTTTTTTCGGTCTCAATCAGATCTATAAACTTGTAAAAATAAGACAATTAAGCCCTTACCGATAAGTTTTCACTAACGTCTAATTGTGATGACGTGTTTATGATGACGTCCATCGTTTCATTATGTGGAATTTTTATTTAAATAAAAGAAATTAAAAAAGGAATTAGGGATTTGGAAATCTTAATGGTGAGGGATTAATTGACTCATTTTTACAAGTTTATGGACCCGATTGAGATCGAAAAAAAAAAAGATGACCCACTTAACATTGACACACAAATACGAGGATCAAGCGAAGGTTTAAACTTTTATTTTATAATTATATATTTTTTCATTTAGTGAGACAATTAGTCTTGAATAAATTTCATTACTTTACGGAATACTTATTATTTTTAAAAATAGTTTTAAAACTGAAATAAATGAAAATAATGGAGTAACTCATTGCCCTCGAACCATATCCAAGAAGAAATACAACTCCTAAGAAAATGATATTGAATCAAATAACTGAAATGTCCATTTCTTTCAAACCATCAAAACAAGAATGATAATTAACAGGACATGGTAATAAGGTAGTTTTCGTAGACTCGAAGTTGTTCAAAACCTTAAATGGTCTTCATAATTTTTTAAAACAAATTATTAATAAATTATTATTATTATTATTATTGTTATTATTATTTTATGATAATTTTTGTTATGCTGGTTACTATTTTTGTTAGCGATATTAGGTTGTCTTATATTGTATAATAGAACAATTGAAAATTGGATAAAGAATGAATTAAAAAAATGGTATATTAATGCTAAGAATTATTAAGTACCTATGAGTACTATAATATTCAATAATTGATTTATTTTAAAAATAAAAATAATATTATCATAAAGTTATAAATTACATAAAAAGGTTTGTTATTTTTCAAATACATCCTTTATTTCTAAAATACTATTGAAAATACTTATATTTATTATTATGATTGCTGAAAGTAGTTTATAAAATTAATATTACTCAAATATTATTTCATAGTGTTAAAAAGATAACTTAAATGATTTTGTTACACACACATGAAGAGTACCTTTGTGAAAGACTATTTTGGGGGATTGAAGTTGTTGTGAATAATTCGACTAAATTGCAAATTTGGTTCCATGTAATATTTTATTCTTGATTTTTTTTTCATTTATTTTGTCATTATATTCTCTAAATTTCATCTACAATTTATTCAGAACATACGACATTGTGTTGCTACTTTTGACATTGAAGACGATTGCTTAAAGAACACCATATTTCTACATCATACATCATGTACAACAATCGTAACCTTAACATTCCCGACATTTTGGACTTCTACGCAATGGAATTGAAAAACTTTGGTTTCGTAAACTTCTCCATCTCTTACATACCAAACTAACAAAATTATTGAAATCAAATATTTATAATTTTCTGCATCTTGCTCATCATAGTGCTCTTTTTCATCCTTCAAATTTTCTCACGAGAAGATAACCGTAGAGAAACAACCGAGTTCAAAAATATCAGCAGCCAAGACTGTTTCACAGATCATATTATAATCGCCCTGCAACATCAATCGAGATTCCCTGAAGCTAAAACTATGGACTTTGACAAGGTAAAAGAGCGCCCAAATAGCTATATATAGTCCCATAATTTAAAAGCAAGTGATCAATAAACTTCACTCGTGCTGAGCGAGTTAATTGTTTTCAACTCTATCCTCAACAGAGATCACAACCATTCCAGATAGCAAGAAAAATGGAAATAACATCATATTTTTGTCAAGCACAAGCAAGGATGTGTACTTGGGAGGAATAAATGCAACAAAAAACACAAACAAGATTAATGAACTCCGAAGGAAAATGAAAAATGATGTGCAACTTATTTAAATACACAGGGAGGAGGCCAACAAAAGGCTGCTCAGAAAACTCCGCCAGCCATGGAAGCAATGTCATCAAAGCTCCAAAGGTTCATCAGGTTTCCACCATCCTGGGTTGTATCACAAGATAGCAAGGATTCCAATGAAGTATCGTCCCAGCTCCCTTCAAGATAAGGCATCTGAAAAAACTTCAATTCAGATTCAATATCCACAAGCTCCTCAGAGAGTGTCTTGGAAGAATCATCTTGCATAGATACCACATCCTGAGAGTTAGTCTGATGGGTGGCATCCTTTGCAAAATGAGAATCGCAATCCAAAGGAGCAGAAAGCATGGATGAGATCTCAGGAGTTTTGGGAGCCTTTTCACTCCACCCAAGATCTGCACAATCAAATGAGTTACTCCCCTGATCTGAACTGAAGTAAAGGGTCACATTATCAGTCGAAGGCAGAGATCTGAGCCCATTTCCACTGCCGGGGAAGGAACCCATGTCAGCAAACTGATTAACTAGGGGTTTCTGTTCCACCAGATCCATAGGCCAACGAAGATCGTTCTGATTGTTCCCAGCATTGAACTTGTGAACATTGGGCTGAACAATCTTCCGATTTCCCAGTGGATTTAATTTAGAACGTTTCACGGAAGCTTCTTCAGGGAAATTCACCTTGGCTTTATTGCCACGAATCCTCCGTGCTTCAGCATCATAAGCTCTTGCTGCTTCTTCAGCAGTGTTGAAGGTTCCAAGCCAGACACGAACGCCCTTTCTTGGATCCCTGATTTCAGCTGCCCATTTCCCCCAAGGACGTTGACGAATTCCCCTATATTGATTCTTCCTCTTTCTCTTTGCAGACTTTTCAGCTCCACCATTGAATGCCACAGATTTCACTGCCCGCTCTTTAATAAACACATTTCACGGCGAGGGAAACAGACACTCAGAACAATTAAACAAAGAAAATAACAATAATGATATCATACATGGATCATATAAGAAAATTTCCAATCCTCCCAAAAACCCTTCGAGGACTTTAGAAGTCTCCCCAATAAAGTAAAAATCATTTTTAGTAGTTTAGTTTTTTAATCAAGGCGAAGGTTACCACCCACTATACTGAGAAAGAACAATTGCAGTGGTGTGCGACCGAGAGACAGAACAGCTTGTAGCTTGTGATAACAACAAAACAACACGATGAAATGAAACATCAATCAATTTCAACAAAATCCACAAAGTGATCCTTGAGTTAAAATCAGTAGAAAGTGAACTCTGGTACGAAAAATGGATAAACATACACTCCTAAACAAGAAGCATTTCTCCCAAAAAACAAATCATTCAAGAAATCAACCCGGGATCCATAACGAGTCAAAGAGTTTCTAGCAGATCTAGAAAATAAAATTCCCTACAGTCAACTCCATAAACGAAAATCACATATTAGATTCACTTTAAAATTGAGGGTACAGAAATTCATATCACATGATGCCCAACAAAATTGATTTCCATTCCAGTGGATGAATAAAAACTGGTCCGAAAAAATCAAACAAAAAAGCAGACATTGATAATTTTGCATGCGAAGGAAAAAAAGAGAATTGTGAAGAAGAGAGAGAAGTTACGAGAAGAGGCGGAGAAAGCAAAGGGTTTGACTTGGTGGTCGGCGTCGACGTCGGTTTCGATGTCGGAATCGTCCTTGAAATCCCTAAAATCAGCCTCGAAGTCATCGTCCGAGTGGATGACCTCAGAAGTCCGTTTCTTCAAATCGGACCACAGATGACCGGCGGTGATCCGGCGAGACCTGGCAGTGACTGCCGCCGGAATGAAGTCAGAGATAATAGCTCCTCCACACATCGGTCAGATGAAAAACAACAAAGCTATGAATGAATATCCAAAGACTCGGTTTTGGTTGAACGCTGCGAATGAAGGTTTTTGCTTTTTCTATTCTGCGTTTTCTATGTTTACCCACTCTTCATTTGTTTTCGTTTTATACGCAGCCTTTTTACACAAGAACGACTCTTTTGACAAGAGGTTTAAGTGATACAATAAAATTTACCTACAGTAATTTATTATATTAAAATAAAAGTTTAAAATTGTTTTTTTTTTCTGTACTAGGTTTTCTAATTAACTTTTTCATAATATCAATATAATTTTCATTTTTTTCTAGTAATAGGCAAAAGTATTTTTTTCTCATCATAAATTATTTCTTCACTTATTGAGTACAGTGTAGACATCCAGGGACACTGTTTAATAACTTTCACTTTCTTGTGAACAACGTTGGTATGGTTAACTGTTAGTTGAATTATAACAGCCGAATCTCCATCTTTAATTAACAAAAACTCTAACTTTTTGGATTATAGTTTTGAAAGAAGCATGAATAAAGAAATTAGGATTGGTAGAGTGATTGGATGTTTTGTTTAAGCCGTTAAATTGATAGCGATGAGGCGGCTAACTTCTCCTAGTTAACCCATTAAACCAATTGGTAATAAAAATTAAAATAAAACATTATTTATTTTATTATTTATTTGAAAATCAAAATATTCAACAATATTATAATATAAATCACTAACATTAAGTTCTAATTACTAATTATAATAAAATAAGTTAACATTTACAATAATTATTATTTTAATTTATTTAATTAAAAATATTAAGTAATTAATTAAAATTTTAGAAAATATTTTATGTATATGATATTAGATAATATAAAACAAAATGTAAATAAAGTTATTTTCATATAGCTAAATAATTCTGATTAGGTCAGTAATTAAGGTTTAAGTCAATTTAGATCACAAATAAATTAGTTATATAATCAAAAGCCCACTGGAAAAACAATAAATTAGAGTTATGATAAGGTGGTAGGTGTACATTAATTACACATTATTATTCTTCTTGCATTTGAATTCAAACTAACTTTGGAATTAGAGAACATTTAGTAGATAACTCATGTTTACAAGAAGACTTGAAATTAAAAAGTTGGATGACCACCTCGTTTGAAGTGATCGATATCGAAGTATTTTGGCTTCTATCACGAGACATAGGTGTCAAATCAAGTATCAAGCATAAAACTTAAAAGACATTATTAGCCACCCAGCTGTTCGGATGGAGTTGAGTAGGTGCCATATTAAATTCGTGCAACACCTCCATCTGAAACTCTTGAAAGATATCTTGACGAGCATATTGGTGAACAAGTAGGCGTACATGAAAAAGAAGTCTGCTTTAAAACATTTCCTGTCATGACAAATCCATGTATTTTCCTTGTAGACTCGCAAGTCAAGCACGTGGTCCTCTATGTTGTCGCCAAGCACATATGTCTTTCCAGTCCAATCGCACAATTTCGCACCCCAACGAAAGCTAGTCACATATTCACAAACCTCGTGTGACGCCAATCATAACGTGGGACGAGTGGAAGATTCACTTCCTCCCCCTCATCAAAGAAATCAACCTCAATCTTCGTGACAATATCATTTGAGATAAGGCCTTCCTTCGCATCTCTAGTGTGTACAACCATGGTTGCACTGCCTAAATTTCACTTGGTTAATCTCTAGTTGTCTAACGAAGACTTGAACAATGACATTGACGACGAGGAATCATCCATATACCCCTGACCATTCCAGCTAGAAGACTCCTCAGACAAAGAAAGACTAATAGTTAACATTATTATTACCTTAAGCAGAAAGCGAACAATAAAGGAAGACCTATATGAGAAAAAGTGAAAATGACAGGCCAACTTCATCTTTATTTATAAAAATGGATAGCCCAACTGTCATGAAGCCACAACTGTCATATACAATCTGATAGTCCAAACGACCTAATGTTTCATATCTCCTTACAACTAACTAGCAAGCACGAAGTTCAAAGTGTTTTGGCTATCGATCTCAATGGTCACATTTCAAAATGAATGGTAGGGAGTTCAAGCAGGTTGAAGCAAAGAACAGTGGATAACAAATCAAATTTCTTTACATAACCTTAAGCAATTATCAGATTTGAGGGACTTGAGTACATTATGGATTGTCGGGTTAAGGAATGAGGTTAGTCCAAGCAATCAGTCGATCGAACCCAAACTTGTTATCTTAATCGAAAAACTAAACTATTACATTAGCGATTTAAGACAATCAAGTAATTCTGATTAGGTTAATAATTAATGTTTAAATTTATTTGAACTGTAATTAAGCTAATTCTAATAAAAACCCATTAGAAAAAAACTATAAATTGAAATCGAAATTAAGTGATAAGTAATACATTAATTATACCTCTATTATCCTTTGAATCCAAATTAATTTTGACATGAAAAAATCTTTAAGAGGTAAACCCGTGTACAAACAAAAAGACTTAAAATTAAGACAATAGACTATCGGTTGTTTGAAGTGACTAAGTCGACCTTCCTTACGAAAACAATTCTTATAAATCGTAACATTCTTATTTAGTTTTTCAAATCTTATTTTTTATGTCTAAAGTCTTTTAAAATTTTAATTTGATACATGAATACCATGCAACATCTAAATTGTATTTTAATGATATTTTTTATGAACATGAAATATGAAAATTATTTTTGAAAAAATTATTTTAAATTACCTGTATTCCTATACTAATTTAAAACTTATCATACACCTTAAGAATTAAAGAGAATTATGTTGAAAATTATTATTTTAAATTTCATAAACACTAATATATATCATTTTAGACAAAATATTTCTTTTGTCTTAAAAATACATACCATCCCAAGTTACTAAATGTTAATTTTGTTAGTGCCGTGGAAATGTTGAATTCATAAGAAGGTAATGAATGGTGCTACTTTTAAAAAGTAAGCAGATTGTGGTTATTAGAATACACATAAAACAACAAAAATAATAATGGGAATATGTCTAGTCTGTCATTATGAAGAGGTGAAATTGTTGCTTCACTGTCTGATGATTCATATGCATCAAGGATTACCGTGTCTGCGCACATGTGCTTGCAAAATCTTTGACTAAGCAAAAGAAAAGGGACACTCCGAAACCATCCATCAAAATTTGCTGTAAAAGGATACGAATCTTTCCCTTATTCTCCTCCTCTTCTCATGACACCATTTCCTACAGACACTCCTTCATTCATTCTTAATTTTACAAACATGAAAGAAGGATATATACGCCTCCACCATGTTTCGTACCATCCATCCTTCATCTCACAAGCGTTTCGCTTTCACCATTATACATACATACTTATATGTGGAACAACAACTAACTTAAGAATAAACATAGTCCTAAGGTAAGAATATGGAAAAAGTGCAAAATTTATACAGCCAAACAGACCAAACCCGGAACTAACAAACAGTTTTAGATCAGAGAGGTTGGTGCATGGTGACGACCAAGGGAGTGGTGACAGTGTGCTTGGCATCAGACCAAACTATGGAGCCAGTCTTGACAGTTGAACTCCCGGGTGAAAGCTTCACTTCCCTGGTTTGCACCCTCACAAGGAAGTTCAGTTTCTGACCCAACCTCCTGAAAGCCAGTGTGTCCGGTTCAACAGTGACTTCGGTGTCGGCAGGGGCTGCAACAGTAACCCTGTAAAGGGAGTTGGGGTCTCCAACGTTGGTGACAGTTCTAATGAAGTGTGTAGACATGCGTGAGCCTTCCTTGCCATACTGTTGAAAGACAGCAGATAAAGAGGGGTAATTGAGATTGGCAGCGTGACCGGCCCTCTTTGCTCCACTGCAGTCTGCGGCCTTTCTGGTGATAACCCGAATATTGTGGGCAGTGTAGTTGGAATTGCAGAGGAAATCGACATAATCGTAGGTGGAAATGTCATAGACCAGACCGGGGTTGATGGCCTTCTCCGGGTGAACGTGGCCAGCCCCATAATCGAAGACCGAAGAAGCATTCCCAGTGGACTCGTCCAACAAGGTCCCTCCACCTCCTCCATTGTCGAGAGTGTAGGCAGTGGTGATGAGAGCAGATCTTATGGCGGCGGGACTCCAGTCAGGGTGGGCCGCTTTCAAAAGAGCAGCCAAACCGGAGACGTGAGGGCAGGCCATAGAGGTGCCGGAGAGTATGTTGAAGTCAGTGGTACGGTGGTCGGAAGGTAGGGAAGAAGGAGGAATGGAAGAAGGCCATGCCGCAAGAATGTTCAATCCAGGCGCAATCACATCGGGCTTCAAAATCTCAGGGGAAACCGGATTAGGCCCTCTGGCCGAGAAAGACGCCACCTTTGGCGCTGGCTTAACCCCAACCCTCGTGCCCCTGAATAAAATGGTTGCGGTGGGTGGCGACCGTAACTGTGAGGCCAACGAGATGTATCTTCGAATTTGGTCGCCCCCAGCGGCACCGACGGAGGTGGCCGGGAGGACGTGGCAGTCAGCTACCAGACCTTCTCCATCGAAGGGACCATTGGCCAAAATCATGGCAACTCCACCGGCATTCTTCACGACTAGGCCTTTGGCAGGCCTTGAATTGACGCCTCTGTCACAGACAACAATCTTACCACTCACGGATTTAGGGTCCAAGGAATCTTCCAAGCAGAGAGAGGAAGAGTAACCGTCAGACCCAGCATACACCAGCTGGTACCGCCGACCCGGACTCAGCCCTGGCCCACCGTAGACACTCACTCCACCAATCACCTTCCCGTTCCCCAGAATAACATCCGCCGGGAAATCTCTGTCTATGGTTCCGGCCCCCACAGTTGTCATCCACGGTGCCACATTCGTCACCGTCAGCCCGCCGGGACCGCCGTTCCCCGCCGAGGCAGACACGAACACGCCAGCCTCCGAGGCTCCGAAGGCCCCCACAGCGATCACGTCCAGGTGGTAGGGAACCACGACGCCCCCGACGCTCAGAGAGACCACGTTAACACCGTCGGCCACGGCGGCGTCGAATGCTGCCAGGATGTCGGAGTCGTAGCAGCCAGCGTTCCAGCAGACCTTGTAGACGGCGAGGCGAGCCTTGGGAGCCATCCCGGCGGCCATTCCCTTGGCGTAGCCCATGACGGAGGCCGGAAAGACGTACCTGCCGGCGGCGATGGAAGCGGTGTGGGTACCGTGACCGTCAGTGTCTCTCGGAGAACGGTACTCGAGTGTTTCGTTCATTTTGCCGTTGGTGGCTTCGTAACCGCCGCAGAAGTAGCGGGCTCCGATGAGCTTGCGGTTACAGGAGTTGGGGGGGAAGCCTTTTCCGGCGACGCATTGACCCTTCCAGTTGGGGGGAGGGAGGCCTAAGTCGCGGTCGTTAAAGCTCTGGCTTTCGGGTGAAATGCCGGTGTCGATGAGTCCGATGACAAGATCGGAGCCGAAATCGGTTTCCTTTAGCAAGCCAGCCCTGTCGGCGGTGTTGAGGCCGAGGAAGTGAGGGGAGCGCGTGGTGTGGAGTTGGCGCACCTGCTCGGGTATGAGGGCTATGACGTGGGAGAGTGACTCCAGGTTCTCCACCTCCGCGGCGGAGAGAGTTGCAGAGAATCCGTGGAAGACTGTTTGGTAGGTGTGGATTATGGAGGTGGCCTCACCCAGTGATGATTCGTACCAGTGCCTGTGCGTGGGGAAGATCGAAGGCTTCGCATCGTGCTGCACTTGCACTATGAATGTTTTCTTCTCTTCTTCCCAAGCTGAAGCTGTCACCAACAGCAAAACCAGAATGCTTCTTCTGAGATCATAGGGAGAAGCCATGGAGAATGAGATTCAGCTCCAGTGAAGTGAGAGTGCTCTCTCTCTCTCTCTCTCAGGTGAACAGAAAGAGTAGGACCTAGTGTACGTGTCTATGTTATAATAATGTCAATCAAATTCACGAACACACTGACAAAACATTCACAGATACAGAAAACATGTGTTGCCACAATTCCCTCATTTATTAACTATCAACCACATTTTACATTTAGCAAACAATATTTTATTTTTTGTTTCTCATGGAAAAACCTTTTCTTTTCATTTGCTTTTTGGCCTAATTGGTTTTTCTTAGCTCAAAAAGTCAAATTATTGCGTTTATATCATTCATGGTTATGCTTAGTGAAGGTCATCGAAGTTCAATTTTTACACAATCTTGGACTACCAACACCACCCTAGAACTTTTACACATTCTACTAGAATCTACATTCAATATCAATTGTATTTAACATTGTTCCGTTTCTTTATTCATGTTACGTATATTGATTTAAGATTTTTTTAACTAGAAACATTTTCAGAAAAAATATACTTTCCTTGAAATTAAAATAAGAAATAAATCTTGACAACGGTTTACTTCCTAAAAGTCAGCAATCTCTTCAAACCAATCATTAATCATGAAAACCATGGAACGTGTAACAATTCGCAAAGGGTTCGGCCATCAGTGTGCACGAGACATAATAATATTAACTAAAAAATGTTCTTAAAATAAAAGGCATTAACAATGACGACATAACTTTCATCGTCCTCTTCAAATCAGATCAAAATAACACAGTTATAACACTTCACATATTGTTTTAAAATTTAATTATTCACCAAGTTTCAAAACTACGTCAAAAAACGGAATGCAGTTCTATTTCTCTGACAGAACTCGCGTTATGCTTCGAAAGTCAAAGAAAGAACAGATTACGTGTAGCCACATAGATACGCAATGCCCTAATACTAAAAGCCACCCCAAATTAATTGAAACGATAGACGTGCTTGTCACAAAATTGTTTCATGTAAAATACATGATCTTGAATATAAGCCAAGATTTGTAAAGAATACAAAAAGAGATATAGATATACATGGATTACTATAAGTATAGCTGGATCAGCTCATCACTGACAACAGATGGGGTAAGAACACCTAAATCTGTGAAAAGCAGAGTAAGGTATTGAGGAGGGGTGTAGTCCCGCGCGGACCTTTCAACCTCAACCTTGGATGGAATAGGTACACCGAAATCAATAGGGCGTAAAGCAGGGGCTAAATCCTTTTGGTCAAGAGGGTAGAGACGAGCAAACTGCAGAAATGCATAACCAGACATTAACTACACACAAATTCAAAGTAAACTTTCTAAAAAATGAGCGCAAGCCAACATAAAGTCCAACTTAGCAAATTGCAAATATACCTTGTAGCTTTCAGCAGCGACATAAACTGGTTTATTCATCCCGTGTGCAACCAATGCAATTTGGTAGGTTCCCATCATGTTGATTATGCCCCCACTTTCCACAACTCCATCTGCACCTACAAAAACCATGTCCACCTCATCCATAGTATATGCCACAGCAGAATCTATTAGTAGTTTCACAGGAACATCAAGCTTGGCCAGCTCATTGGACAACCGCAATCCTGTTCGATCTGGTCTTCCCTCTACAAATTAATAGACACGAGGTTGAAGTTCAGATTACAGTGAAGATGCCAAATATATACACTCCACAAGTTTTAAAATGGGTTTCATAAATGGAAATTATGTGAACAAAATTGAAACTGTTCCAGAATAAATCTACTTGTAGCTGAAAGTGACCTAAACATTCGAATTATGTGTTTTGCCTTTTCGTTACCTAATGGCTAATGACCCGACAATCCTCCTCTATTTATCCTACCAAAGCTAACCAACCCAGTCCGAGTTACTGGAGCTGGAGTATATTGCTTCATGCTTAGGATCTTAAATGTTAGTTCCATAAATTCCAGGTATTAGGGCCACGTTACACTCCCTCAGATATTGAACCACAGTTTCCTAAGTACTGGATTGTTGCCCCACTTATCATTACAGATTCCTCTTTCTGAAAACATCTGACCCATAGGTTAAGGTTACGCTCCTTGAGATATCATTCGACAGTTTCCTAAGTACTGGGACGGGCACAGGGACTTAGTGGGTTGTTGACCCACTTATACTTAGAGCCTCTCTCCGAAAACATCTGACCCATATGTTAGACACTGATAAGGGTTGTGTAGGATTTGAGCAGACCCATTACCCAACCCATCAAACACAACCCACTCTTGAGCGTGTTGGATTCGGTTGGATCAATTACATCAACATTTTGAAATAAATTCTGTTTTCCTGTTAAAAGTTGTAATTTTCAAGTATCAACCTAATTAAAAAATAACACAATCTTTACAAAAACTAATCCAAGACTTCAAATAAGGCAATGAGTCAAGTCATACCAAGTTTGTCCAAACTAACTTAAAACATGAAAAGAAAAACATAACACAATTTGTTTATAATATACTAAAACACTGAGCCAACCATTATAAGAGTGAGTTAGTTCGAGTTGGATCAGATTTGATCCAATTACAAATGAAACCCAACCCAATCTAATTGGGTTGGATTGGGTAAAGTTGGGTCATCGGTTAACCCGATCCAGTGAACACCCCAAGATAATGACCAAGTTAAGTCAAATATGATCCCTTAATCAATTGTTACGATGATCGAATCCCAGTCTAATCAGGAGGGTACAGAAACCAAACTTCACAGGCAATAACAATAACCAAGCCTTATCTCACAATGTGAACATGTTTCTCCGTATCAATCAATCAACAACAACAGACAGGCAGAAACCAAATTATCAGTAAAACAATCAAAAGATTGGCTTCTTCCATTGTTTTAAAAAGAATACAGAAATGAATTGAGAATAACAATTTTAACAATCGCGATTAATACAAGATGTGACTGAAAAGATGAAGAAAGCCTAAATCCATGAAATTATCGTTAAAGAAAAATACAAAGTTGCTCATTTGTTATTTAAACTTTGGAACTAAACATGAATATGAGCCCTCTGTTACAACTCTGAAATAATGCGCCCCTAAAGTAATACATAAATAAAATCAAAGTAAGAGAGCAAAAAAGAAAAAACCTGTGCAGAAGACCCGAAATAATTTCTTGTTTTGTGCTGCCAGTTTGAGGACTTCCAACACAACTCTGGAAAAACCATGAACCAAAATTGTGCAACCATCAAATATGAAATCCTGACTCAACATCGCGATAACTTTGCGGGCCTGCAGAATAAAAAATGAATTTAGGCACAAATGTGAGAAAAATAAGGGAAATTAAAGTGCAGTGCATAGAGGGTGGAAATGAATGAGAAAGTTGCCTTGTGGGAGATTTCGCCGAACTTCTCCGCACGCTCAATCAAGCGAGATTTAGCGGAATTGAAGTCTTCGTATTCTAAAGCAGAAGTCCGAGTGACATATCGCATAAAGAGATCACAGCCCGCTGTTAAAGAGATAGAGGTGGCATCCCACGACTGTAACGGAACAAAGAGTGTTGAGATCAATGAACCAGAAGATAATGAAGTTAGTGGCTTGAGAGTACCTTCAGAGTATCGGAGGCCTTCTTCAGCTCCATTTCCAGCTGCATCATGGTGGTAGCCCGGCTGGTCCTTATGACGGCGGCCAAGGCGCGAATGGCGGCGACGGCCTCCGCCAAATGGGGCTGTATCCGCCAGTTATTAAACTCCTTGATGACGCTGAATGGCTTGTCAGGATCGGGCCTGAGTTGAGGTAGAGGATCAGGGTCTGGCCCAATGGCGGCCTGAGCCTGGGCCAGCCAGTCGCTGGTGACAACGCCATGATGTGCTGCTCTGGTCTCATAGTAGGCAGAGGTCTTAGGGTTAGAGTTGGGATTAGGATTAGGGTTAGGGTTTGATATCGATGATTCGGTAGGAGCGACGGTGTCTCCCTTGAGAGCAGCCTCGTTCTGCTGCCTGTCCATGATGAATGACGCTGATCTCCACCACATCTTTGATCCTCCCTTCCCACTTCAACACAAGCAAATTCGATTCGATTCGATTCAGATAAGAATAGATACCATGTGTTGTGTTGTGGGTTAAGCAAAACTTAAGATTAGGGTTCCGCAATCCCCAAATTCAAAACTAAGCCAACTCAACATTTCCCCTCTCACTCTGCCATTTTCTAATCAGATAAATAAGAATCACTCAACTTTTGCATTTTAAAAAAAAAATTCAAAAATATTCACTGGAGTGTTGTATATTAAAAGAGGACGATACTTTAACAATATTTGTTATTTTATTATAGGTTCATGTTCACATCAAGAGTAATTTTGGACCAATTACAAAATAATACATAAATAATGTTAAAATATTGTTTAAGTATCATTTTCTATATTAAAATAATTTTTCTAATTTTATATAAACTTATATATGCTAGGAAATGTATTTTTTAATTTAAATGAAAAAAAAAGTAAATAACTAACATCTGTTAATCAATAAAATGTTAAATAATTTTTTATTATGTTTAAGTCTGAATATATATTTGCAAAAGTAAATTTAATATGCCGAGTTTCGTTCTCCATATTATACACAAAAATTTAATTAACTAAATACATATGCAAAAATGAACTTGGTTAGTTTATTTTTCGAAAAAATAAACCTAAGATTAAAAAAGAAAATTAATGTAACACACCTTATGAGCAAAAAGCCTACATGTTTTATTCTTTTTAAAATTAAAAAAATTATCAAAATATTATGAGCAAAGAGTTATAAAAATAAAAAATGATTTCTTTGAAATATATTTTAATTTGTTTTTCATTTACTTGATGTGTGATATGTTATTGAACCATTTTAGTTAAATTAATGATATTAAAGCTTAATTTTGTATTAAAGTCATTTAGACTCTATCTTAGTCAAAATTTAGGTTTATTGTATTATCTCTTATTGAACACCCTTTAATTCTCATGTCAGATATCTTTAATATTATGGGTATTCGATAAGAATTTAGTATACTGTTTAAGAATATAAATGGTACAATATTAAATTTCTCTTGTAAGGATCTAGTAAATTGATTAAGAATAAAAATTGTATAAATTAGATAAATTCTTCATAATTTGTTTTTTATTTGAAGAATTTATTCGTCTAAATTATAACCTACCTTAAACATTATGGTAAAGGACAAAACATATATATGTAACCAAAATTTGTTTTAGAGTACGTTTAGTTGTCTATTTTTTGTTAGTTAGTTTTGAGAAGTTTTCATGCATCGATGGATGTGACTTTGTCACACTAATATGAATTTTATGGAAGGATGTTATTCATGGATATGTAAAGATATAAAATCTTGATATTTTGATATCTTAATTTTTATTTTGATGTTTTAAAAGGTATAGAAAAATATTGAGTTATGTTGTGAATCATTTGAGGTTGAAATAGTAATGTTTAAATAATCACATTAAGGTTGAAATAGCAATAAACAATAAACAGATTTAAATGTTACAACTAAACTCTTGTTTAGATGACATTTTCACTCAACTAAATATTTAATTTTGTTTTGTTGTTTGTTTGTTTATTGCTTTAATTAATTTTAAATGTGATTATTTATATTTATGTGATAAGTTTCACATTAAGAATTGTAAACCATTATTTTCATGGAGAGAATATCGTGTTGAGATATTTAGGTTGTGTATTGAATTAAGGACTGAAGAAGGAAATATCATGACTTTACTAATATAGGAATCACACTGAATAAAATATTATGTGTGAAAGTCAAATGAAGTTCCTACTGTCTAGTATATGATTTGTAGAAAATATAGTGTGATAAATAAAAATATATAAGTTTAAATCAACAATCTTTCAAAATTTGAGTCAATTATTTGTGATTTTAGATGTTAATATTATTATAACATAAGAAGTAATGAACGAGTTATTAGTTAGATACTCAATTATATATTAACTAAGTGAGTAAAATGAAATTATATCCATTAAAGTATCGATGAGATGTGAAAATAAGATGTGTACGCTTTAATATATACACATGCATTTAAAAAAAAAACTTTAGCTTATTCAAATTTTGGGTAATTGTTTTTTCAATCAATTTTGACTGTGTTACACAAGAATAAACATGCTACAAGATTACGGTGTCCATAGGAATGACTAAAGAATAGAAAAAATATTTTGTAGTTGTTTGGTTTCCATTATTAAATATGTTTTTGTATATATATATATATACTTTGATCTCTTATAAGAGAGAAATTTATTTTAAAAATGTTTAAAGGGTAATGTAGATATTTATGTAATCTTATTTAACTTATCTTGATTATTAACAGTGTAACTCTTAATGGAATGTTCCATGTATTAGAGATCTAATATCATATAATGTATATATGATTTGTTATTTTCACTTTTTATTTATTTACTTTTGATGTTTAAACGTAAAAAGCAACGAAAAAAAAATATAAACATGAATAAAATCTACACACCATCGAAAGTGTAAAGTTAGACTTTGTAAATAAAATTCACGTGAAAAAATTAAGATTGTAAATTATTATCATTAGAAAAATTGTTTTATATATTAAGACATTTTTCAGTCTGATTAGTTTAAAGAGGCTATCAGGCCGGATTTTGAATAAGTAAGTGGGTGAAATTTTAAATACTTGAACAAAATTAAACGAGTTAAAATAATTTTTATGAATAAAACTTAATAAACCTAGTCATTAATGCAAACAAAAAATCCCGAACTCCAATTAAGAATCCACCATTTTGGTACTTCTTCCATGCAAGCAAATGATTCAAACTCTCCTCATCATCGACCAACATCTATCTTGACTTTCATCGAAGATAAGTGAAAGTGTGTTTTATTTAATTAGTAGCTAGCAGAGCATCAAACATGGCTTCTTCTGTTTTTCACAAATTGTCTTTATCATCAGACAGCGAAGTTGTTCTTTTATAATACAAGGACACAGAGACAAAATATGAACTAATAATCTAAGCGAAAAGGAGGTGCAATTAAGCAAAGGTGGCATTCCCATTATGAAGCCTTAAAAGTTACAAGTGGCAAGAGGAACAAAACCCTCTGCACATGTTGCTAACATCCTTTTCCTTTGTCACAAAAAGCCTTTTTCATACATACACAGTCTGTATATAGATATACATATATATATGCTGCTAAGATCTCCGAGTCTGAAAAGATGAGATCGAATAAGGTAATGAATTAGCACAGTGAGTTAAAACCATTACAGTTAAAGTCCTTTCTGACACGGCCTTCTTCAACAGCGCCATCGTTGGAGTTCTTCTCTCCTTTCACTATCTGAAGCCAACTCTGTCGAAGAAGAAGATTGGTGATTTGAGCCTCTCTCTCTCTGGTGAAGCCACGGATATGAGTATTAGAAGTAGGAAAAACTGGAGCAAGAAAAGGTGTGATTTTTAATTATTGGGTATACCTTGGATGATTGTTGGTGAGGTCTGGAATTCTTTGAAAACAGGGCCCTTCATCATACCCTTCGCAAATGATTTCCCCTCGCTCATCTTGGTAACACACTATGCCCTCAGAACGATCTTCGTAAACCTGTTTAGCCAATTAAATACACATTAATTAGCACAACATCTGTTTCCTTCTGCTAAGACGAGGGGAAACATCAAACCCAAAAAACATCAAACCTTGTTCTTCATGGATGCTGCGATCCTCACTACCGATGATGACGATGATGATGATGATGCCCTTTTGAGTGGGACATAGCTTGGTTTGGAGATGAATTTTTTGTTTGGGCAGTTGAGAAATGATCCATATCTGTGAATTGGGATTTGAATTGAGGAAACAGAGGTAGCAGCCATGAATGTGATTGTCCGGGAAGAAGAATAAAAGTGGTGAGGGATAGGCCCTGCCTATATAGTAAGGCAATGATCTCATCCTTTAATTAATTAGTTTTTGATTAATGGTAAAGCATTGGTTATGATATTATTATAAAATGCTATAAGTTGAATTATTAAAGGCCTGTGTCTTATCATGATAAAATGTTGTAATATAAATAGTAATGTAGGGCCAAAGTGGCTTATCCCTTACCTTCGTTGCCGGTGAACTCCAAGTCACAGTTCAGGTTTCATCATGCTTATCGTTTTGTTGGTTGGTCCATTCACCATTTCACTATGAAATCAATCAATCTCTTGCTCTTCACTTCACACAATAATATACATAATCTCTTATATCAACACATCACTGTAAGACCACATGGCCTTTCAAGTAAGTTATCATGCTTTTAATGAAGAAATTTTCAAAACTTTAAGCTACGATCTTCAACCATGATTTCACTAAGTATAATTACAGAGGACCAACGTCACGTCACATCAAACGACTTCACTGATTCATTTTCTAACTTCGTTGTGTTTAAAGCTGTGATCTTGCTTTTATTATATTCACCGGGGTTATTCATCTTAGTTGTTTACTGTTATTTTAGTTTTCTTTTGTCTGTATTCTCTTATTTTCTAGTGTATTTTTTTGTAGTTGATCGTAACTTCATTGTTATTTCCTTGATGACTTGTTTGTAACAGGGTCTTGTCAAAATTAATGTTCAAAACAAAATAGAGAATTATGTAAATTTGAAGAAAAAATAAAAGTTCTTTTTTAAACTAATTAAAACAACCAAATTGAAAGAGAATTTTTTGTGGAAACATAAATTGTGTTGGTTTCTGAACTTCACAACAATCTGGATGCAAGAGTCCAAATTCTCTATTAATTTATTTTTTAATTTTTTTACCAAAATTTCAAAATATACTAATATTGATATATTAAAATAAATTAATATATTTTAAATAATTTATTTTGAAAATAAAGTATCATTCCTTTAAATAGTTTTTATCTATTCATAGTTACAACATGTGTCACCTTAACCTACTGTAATACTCTAACGACAATTTTTCATACAAAACTCTAAATCACGTTGTTATTATTCTTTTAATTCTTGATAAGACCCAACACTTTGTTTTTATTTTTGTCATTCAATCCCCTGTATACGAATATATTAAAAATTTCTTCCATGGAGTAAAAGTATCTTGCATTAACATTCACACCATAAAAATAATGTAAGTGGGTGTTAAAACATAAAAAATCAGATTATAGCCAATAATACTTAATAACATCAAACAGACATTGAAGATACTTTATATATATATATATATATATATATATATATATATATATAT